TCTTATTCAATCTGCATACTGAACCAGTAATCCAAGAATATGGATTATATAAAGAGCCCGAGAGACCACAAGCACACTCAAGAAGAGGCTGTAATACTGAGATCATGTAAGCAGTGAGAGAGTGAAAGGCAGGCTTTTGGCCCAAGGAGGTAGAGACCAAGGGATTTAGCAACTGAGAAGCAAAGGGTCAGAGAGACTTGTCTGCTGATTGAGAAGGGTTATTGTGTATCCTTAATGCTTTCTCATCCTGTCTCAACCTGTTAATTTCTTTAATCAACCTCCATAATAGCGAGTATTATCTGTGAGTTATGTGTGGCCATTGCAACAGATTATTGAACCCAGTAGAGAAGTAGAGTGCTTGGGAGGAATGATTGGTGGCAGGATAGGGTAAAGAAAAATGGAGCATGGAAGCATGTCTGACCTCAGCCTTGTGGCAGTCAACCTTAGATAGGTGTGGAGTCAGTCCCTCCTCCCTACTGCAGCCAAAGGAGGTCAGATGTGGTGGTCAAGCCATTTCCTCATAAGGGTTTGATAAATGGCTTTGTCTCACACACTGTGGACATATTATCTGGAGAGACCAGTCCTTTGAAAAGGGCACCATGATTGGTAAAGTAGAGAGTCAGCATAGAAAAGGAAGATCCCCAACAAGATGGATTGGCACTGTGGTTGCAACAATGGACTCAAACATAACAATTGTGAACATGGTGAAAGACTGAGCAGTGTTTTGTGACCTCATAAGGGGTTTCTATGAGTCAGAATTGACCCCATGGCATCTAGCAACAATAAAAGCATTACCTTCATTAAGGAGCCCTGGTGATGCAATGGGTTACGTTGCAGGGTGCTAATCCCAAGAGAGGTCCAGACCCGCCAGTCACTCCATGGGGAAAGATGGGGCTGTTTGCTTCCACAAATATTTAAAATCTTAAAAACCCTATGCAGCAGCTCTACTCTGTTTTATAGGGACTTACTGGCTGTGAGGTTTTGTTGTTGTTGTTGTTTTGTTAACTCCATTTTATAGTTAAGGAGGCAACATTGTAGGGATGGAAGAGCTTGTAGCTTTACTATTGCAGCATCCTTTCTTTTCACTAAAAAGCTTTGCTTTTTAAATTTCCTTTTTATTTTCCTGCCCCAAATACCTAAACATCTTCATGGCTTTGATCTTGTTTTACAATTTCCCCATTTCTTCATGAGACCCTTTAATATTTGTCACATTGTCTCACTCATCTATGCATGTACAATCTTATGTAGAGTTTCTCCAGTTGAGCTAGGTGCCATGGTTGCAAGAATGAGAAAAATGGGCACACTGTCTATCCTTTCAAAACTTAAAGTCCAGTCAGAAATAAAGACAGATAGACAGTCACGTCCAAGTCACTACAAACTGTAGTAAATTGCATGGTGCATGGAAACCCACAGTGGAGACATTTAATCTGTTCTGCCAAGGCCAGGAAGGAATTCCAGAAACTAAAAGACATAAGCCAATATTTGAAACAGATCTCTTTATTTTGCCCTGTACTCTTTGTCTTGATATTTCTCATTCTCTTCATATTATAAAACATATTTATTTCCATGTTCTTCCATTCATAACTTTTTGACTTATATCACAAGGTTTTGCTGAGTGTAACAAGAATTAATGGAACATCTACTCTGGGTTAGAAAATTCCTAAGGAGAAGCTGAAAAATGAATGGGGGGCACAGAAAGAACATTTGGGTGGGTTTTGAAAACACTTGGTTAAAGTTGTCCGGTATGCTTGGAGAATCCAGAAAGTGGTCTCCTTCCTATCCATGGTGCTCTTCTGGACCCAGCCCTTTCTCTGAGCTCTCTTCCCTGCTTTCCCAATCCATCATCTACTAGTGCAATGTGTTGCATTATCTATATGGCTCTTGTAACTATAGCTATAGCTATATAGAAGTTATAGACATCTCTGTCACTTCAATCAAACTACATTTTCCTGATGGTTCTGAGTAAAAGAAACTGAGCAAAGATGCTAGTAAGATTCAGTTGAGAATGCTTGTTAACAAGTTTCACTGAGATTGCCATCTGCTACATATAAAATAAGCCAACTCAAAGGCAGAAGGGGAGAGCTCACTACCAGCAAGAACTAGGAATGGAGCACATCCTAGGGACCTGAGATCCCTGAGCAGTGGCCTCCTTGATCCAGAAAACAGCCTTGACATCCGAAGAGTGGCAAAGGAGCAGCAACAGCAGCTGAACCAGGAGCCGGAGCACGAGAGTGCAGTGGGATTCCCAGCCCACAGCAAGTAAAACTGAGTGATTTGGGTCAGCAGTCTAGCTTGTGGAGTGGGGTGCCTCTAGGCACTTCATTTAGTGTGCTGTGTTCATTGCCCCACAGAACTGGAGTGCTCACAGTGACCTGGCATGCTCTTTGGAATTTACTGGCATCCCTAAAGGAACAGTGCAGCTATCTGGTTCAACGACTGTGTTCTGAGCACTTCCCACCTGCATTGTAATTTGTTAACTTCCTTAATCATGAACAATGTCTCTGAGTTCATTGTAATGAATTATGAGATTATGAATTATGAAAAGTAGAAAGTGTTATATGAGACAGAACACTGAAGTCCACTACAATTGAAATGAGGAATGATTGAACAAAGTGGCTGGTTTTAACTTTTTAGCAAGCATAAAGGAATGCAAGAAGCCAACAGTATGAATTAAAAGGCATTGAGCAGACTACTCTGTAATTTAAAAAAAAAAAGTTTCATTGTTATATAATTCACATAACATACAATTCAATAGTTCAATCAGATTAAAAATACTTGTACAATCATCACCACAATCAATTTGAGAACATTTAATTCCTTCTTGCACTCATTGTTATTAGCTCTCTATTCCCCCCAATATCTCCTGTCATAATCCCAAGAAACCATTAATCCAGCTACTGTGTCTATAGATTTACCTATCCTGGATTTCATATACAGACAAACATATAAACCCAAATTTAGAAAGTAACAAAATAAAACTGAGAAAAACCTCAATTGCATCTGCAACGGTCCCCTTTCCAGTGCACTCTGCCTGATAGCAAGGATATTCACATCCCTGGTCTATGATCAGAGGGATTCACCAGAGGTTTATTCACCAGAGGGGACAAGTATGTCCCCTCCATTTTTTAAAAAACTGAAACAACTTTAAAATGGGTTAAAATGGAGATCAAATGATAATGTGTTGCATTCTAACCTAACTATATATGCCATAATCAACTTTACAATGCTGTCTGATAACAAGGCTATTCACATCCCTCAATCATGATCAGAGGGAAGTCAATGGATGCTTAATCCATGTGTGGGTATTACACGTAAATTCTGGGTTTCCATTGTCATCTACAGCCTTCTGCAAACCTGGTGTTCACAATATAGCTCTCATACCATTCCTTTCTTCAGATTTGAATGTTACTATTTATAATCCTTGAATCACACAGGCTGGTGTGCTTCATCCATGTGAACATAGTTGGTGCCTCACTTAGATGGCTTTTTGTTTGAAGACAAGCCATTAAGATGCCAGATACTATTCTTTATGCCAGGCAGTACTTGGATTCTTCACCACACTTAGCTATAGCTTCATATCTTCAGTGATCTCTTTATGAGGATGGGCACCAAGCAGGACCATGTCATAAGAACCAAGTGTGCTTAGATTGGGACTAGAATTAAGAGACCATTCTGGAATTTGATTGGTAAAGGCTCCATTGACTCCCCTCTGGTGAATGACCAAGGATACGAGTAGTCTTGCCCTCAGACAGAGTGCAATAGAAAGGGTATTACCATGATATGTGAATATTATATAAAGAAAGCATTAAAAAACCAAGAGAAGGAAAGAAACTTGATCATTGGCTACCATGTGTGAAGGAGAAAGAGTTTTTGCTTAGGGGACTTTGAGTTTATGTTAATGGTGGTGGAATAATTTGGAAAAGGATAGCAATAATGGTTGTACAACACAAAGAGTGTAATCAATGGTACTGAATTATACATGTAGATGTTGTTGAATTGGAAAATGTTGTGTTTTGTATATTTTTGCAGTAATTTTAAAAACTACATGAATAACAGTGAGTATAAGGAAGAAGAAAATGTTTTAAAATTGATTGTACTAATGATTGTACAACTCTTCTAGAAATGACTACAACTCTTCTAGAAATGACTGAAGTATTGAATGATATGTGGATGGTTTGCCAAAAATACTGTTGTTGTTTTTTTAAAAAGGAAAGGGTATTACCTCCACCCACCTGATAAACCCAGGGAAGGACAGTCCCATTAGGGGCTTGCCTGGGTGTTTCCTTTATGGAGATTACCACATGGGGGGTGGGAGGAGGGGTCCCAAAGACATGAATCATGTCCTGACCGTCTTGGGGAGGCCCTGTACCCATTTATAAATTCCTCTGCTGTACAACATACATACCATAATCAGGGCCCATTTTCACTATGGTAGCCCCGCCTGTACTTAGGATGTTTTGATTTGCTGCATTCCATGCATATGGCACAGTTTTCCTTCATCTCCCATGTCCTTTCTACAGTTCTGTGTATCAGCAAACGCCCTTGTCCTGTTTAAGACTATAATAAATGTTGTCTTAAAAATAAAAAAATAAGTAAATAAAAACAATGTACCTTTTTCTAACCTCTCTGTTAGCTTGATGCCTTAATTTTCCTCCTATATGGTCCTTTCTTCCATTTGATTCATGCTGTTGCACTAAATTTTTCCACACTGCCACTTGCTGCTGTCTAACTGATTCTGGCTCATAGAGAGCCTATGGGGCAGTGGAGAACTTCTTAGTATTTCAGACCCTGTTATGTTTATAGGAGCAGATGGCTGCATCTCACTCCTATGGAACGACTGGTGAGTTTGAACTACAGACCTTGAGTTTAGCAACCTAATGCTTATCCCACAGTGCCATCAGGGCTCCTTTGGTAAAATACATTCAACATCAAATGTGACATTTTAGGCATTTTGAAGTGACACGAAGCACTTTCACAATGGTTTGTTTTTGTTTTTTTTTCAGGGGTTGGCGCGAACGCAGCGCCCCACTACCACAAATTATGCCGTGGAGTTTCCCGCATTTGCTGAAATTGCAGGAGTCACCACACCCGCAGTGCAATGGATGAACCTCGCCCTGGGAAAACCAACTTCCTGATCACGGTGTCTCCCCTGCCAGGTAAGTATACTTTCCCAATGTTAGGCCACCATCATCACCACTATTTGTTCCTAAAACGTCCTCATTAGCCCAAACAGAAACTAAGTTAGTACCTATTAAGCAGCAACCCCGGTGCCTCTTTGCTCTTGCCCCTGCTGGCCAGTTTATATCGCTATTCATGTATCTATTCTAGATATTCCATCTGAACCGCATCGTATAAAATTTGCCCTGTTGTTTCTCACTTATTTCGCTTAACTCACTGCCACCGAGTGGATGCTGACTGACAGAGTCCCCTGTGGGTTCCGAGACTGTGACTGCTGACCGGGGTAAAAGGCTCAGTCTTTCTCCCATGGAGACAGATCACAGTCC